TCTGAGGAGCTGCCACTGTGGTGGGGTGGCCCTGTCACCGTGCCCCATATGCCAATGAGCAGTGTGACTCAGGGCAGGAAAACCCAGGCTGAGGAATGCCTGAGCAGATCCCACACAAGCATGGCACAACCCAGGCAGGACAGGCACAGCCCCACAGCAACACACACCCCACCAGCCCCATGGTGCTGGGGAGCAGGGGTGGGAGGGCCAGGCAGCTGGGGACACGGGGAGCTGGGGATGGAGGGGCAGAAGGGGAGGTGCAGGCAGGGGGCTGCGAGAGGGGCCGGGTCACTTGGCTGCAGCACCTGCAGGATGTAGTTGCCTGGTTTGACATCAGTGATGTCGATCCACTGGCAGGCGATGTCGTGCCGGTACAGGTCCCAGCAGCCCACAGTGCTGCCCTGCTCCCCAAAGTTGGCACACTCATACCGCTTGGCCACGTCTGAGGGAGGGAGGGAGAGCACAGCTTGTCCCTGCTGCTCCACTGCACAGCCCCTGTCACCCCCAGCCTGGCCCCAGCGGCTGCAGTGGCCAGGCACAGGCATCCCCATAGTGGGGACTCCTGGCACTCACCTTCCTCACACTCAGTGTCCTCGAGGCAGAAGCTGGCCTTGTGTCCCTCTGCCACCTTGGTGCCATTGGGGGTCAAGATGTCATAGTGGGTGAAGACGTCCATGCTGTGGTAGTGCCTGCGGGAGGGAGCCAACAACACCCCAGCTGCACCAGTGCCCGACGCTGGGAGCTCGGGGCTGCTGGGGCGGGGGGGTCCCACGGAGCAGAGCAGAGGCTCACCCTGCCCTGCAGCACACCCTCTACCCCCTGCCCGCCCCTCGCTGCTGGGGAAGGTCCCCTTGGCCCCTGCCGTGAGGCCGTGGTGCTGTGAGGTCAGGCTGAGCTCTGTTCTGACCTGGGAGGGGACATGGTTGTCCTCAGCCAGATGGCCCAGGCCAGTGGGGGGGCTCAGTTGCAGGACACAGCCTGCAGCCCCATTCCTACCTCCCAGGGCCCCCAGACCCAGCACTGCCCATCCAAGGAGAAATTCTGACCCAAAACAGGCAAAACTGGACACTGGCAGCAGAAGGTGCCTCACCCAGCGTCACCCTTACCCAGTGCCACCTTTGCCCAGTACCACCCTTGCCCAGCCCACCCCAGCAGCCCCATTCCCCTCTCCCCACCTCTCTGACCCCCAGCCCAGGCTATTCCCCAGCGTGTCCCTGTCCCTGCTGTGCACGCACCGGTGGCACTCATGCCAGACCCAGGAGTGCCGGCCAGCCTTGGGGCGGAAGTCGGCGCGGCCGTTGTTGTGGATCTGGGAGGAGAAACGGAGCAGGCGGCGGTGCCCGTAGGGCCAGTTGGCCAGGCGGGCCGAGCTGGAGAGGCAGTTCTCCTCGGCAGCACAGTACAGCATGTGCAGCGGCCGGTCCTCGATGTACGCTGTCTCCTGCACTAGCGGGGCGTGCAGCAGCAGGTCGGAGGCAGCTGGGGGGCAGGAGGCTGCTCAGGGACAGACACCGCTGCTCGGCTGGCAGCAGAAATGGGGTAGGCAGCAGGGATGGGGCAGGCAGCTTGGATAGACCAGGCAAGCCCCCAGTGCAGGCAAAGCTGAGCCATCTGGGGGAACTGCCTGCCCTCCCCATCCGCTGGGCACAGGCTGAACTGCAGCCCTGTCACCTGCAAACCCCATTGCCTCCAGCCCCATTGCTCACAGCCCCTTTCTCTGTAGCCCCTGGTGCCACAGTGTCTGCCCACAGACCCCATCATCCCTGGACCCTCTTGCCCACAAACCCCACTGCCCGCAGACCCCCTGGCCGCTCACTCTCGGAGCAGATGACTCCAGCAGCAAAGCGTGTGCCCGTCTTCCTGCAGTTGAGGCTCGTGCCATGGTGCTGACAGTGGTTCAGGGACATCTCATGGCCAGCACACTTCACCCCGCTCAGCACCATCTCTGTCACGTTGCTGGCGTCCCAGTACCACGTCTCCTGGGGACAGGGAGACAGGCTGGGTTGCCAGGCTCACTGTGGGCTCCCCAGCTGACACGCACCCAGGCTGTGGGCAGCATCCAGCCAAGGCACAGCCCTGCCCACCTACCCAGGGTCCATCCCACGCACGGAACAGCCACATCCCTTTGCCCCGCACAGCCCTGCAGCCGCCCGGGAGGCACCGGTGCCCGTGCTCTCCAGGGTGTCACTGGGTCCCTCCCCGCTGGCACCTACCGTCACTGCGTGCAGGGAGTAGCCCAGCCCCAGCTGGCGACAGGCCACCATGGCCTCCTTGGTGGTCCAGCCATCGCTGCACACCGTGCCCC